CGTGATGGTCGTAATCCCACATTTTGGTGTTCAATCGGTGTTCTTTACTATCAAATAAATCAGGTATACATTCAAAATATACGTAAATAATTTATTAAAAAAACTTTTTGAAATTTACTAAAAAAAAACTTATTATAGTTTCGGGATGCTTTGGATGCTTACAGTCGTGCGATTCGATTAAATCCGTATATCAGTGAAGTGTGGTATGACCTTGGTACTCTATATGAATCTTGTAACAATCAGATCAATGATGCTCTTGATGCCTATCAACGAGCTGCTGAATTGGATCCAAGTAATCCACATATAAAACAACGTTTACAAATGTTGAGAAATCAACAAGCTGGTGGTCAAACATCTGCTCCAATTCCTCAAGATGTGAACCCTCAAGCTTATCAATCTCCTAATGGTCCTCCTAATATGCTTGGTGGTAATACTCCAACATTCGCTCAACCTACTCCTGGTCCTCCAGGTCCCCCTGGTATGCCAGGATACAATAGACCAGTTGATAATCGTCCAAGTCATACCACAGGTCCTCTTTTGTCATCTATACCTAATCACGGTGAAGGTTCTCACCGTGATTTACCTCCTCCAATGAATAGAAGGAGTCCTGGTCCTACTACTACTTATACCCCTCCTCCTCATCTTATGCGTGATAGACCATTAACCCCACCTAATCAACAGCATACTCTTAATCCATTAATTTCTCCAAATGAACAACGTTCATTGACTCCTCATCAGTCTCAACCACAACAACCTCCTCCTTTACGTCATAATTCGGATAAACGTGCGTCATCTCCTTCTCCACAACTTCCTCAAATTCAAATGCCGGATGATCGACATCCTAGACATTCCCCTACTCAGTTACCTGAACCTTATCCATCATTGAGACCTAATTATCCTCCTTCTCCACGGATGATAACACCTGAACATGGTAGTTCTCAACTTTCTGGTTATCCGCATCATGATATAACTCATCATCTACCTGTTGATCGTCGAGAATCGGATATTTATGATAAGGTTGTAAAGCCTGATGAACGATCTAGTAATGGCGTTTCCTCTTATCATCCATCTGAATCGCTCGCTCCAAAACATGATTCTCTTCCACCTATTAATTATCATGATAATCGTGATAATTTGGATCCACCAATTAAGAGATCTGATGAGCCATCTCTTCGTCCTCCCGATACAAGAACACCGCATCGTCCCCCACATTCGATGGATCATAATGAGAATAGAATACAAGATGATGTACCAATTGATGAAAAACCTTCATTTACTTATCGTCAAGATGATCATCATCCGAGACATCCAACTGATATTAAATCAGAATCACCTATTGTTCAGAGACCACCACCACTTTCTGAATCTCCTGTTAGAGAAACTTATAACAATGAACAACAACATAGTCCGATTTCAAATGTTTCTAATAATGATATTCCTCGAAAATCTTCAACTGATCAACGACCCGAAACTCCACGTGAAATTTCAAAAATGTCAATTCCATATCAATCAGAACCGGATCCACATTCTCCTCCTGGAGAATCAAGTCCACATGTTAATGAACAGAACAATTCTACATCTTCAACCAGTCCTCCTGATAATGATAAATCAATATTAGCACCTATTCGTACCAATTCTTCTGCTAATGACCGAACATCTGGATCGGCAACTGCTCGTACGGTTGATGAAGATTATGATGGAACTGCTACTACTGCAGAAACTTTAGTAAGCTTGAGTGATCCTGGTGTTTCATCTTCATCTGTTGCACAAAAACGTTCATATTCACCAGTAAAAGGAGATGATGTTGATGATCGCCGTGATGAAGGCAATGCTAAACGAATGAAACCATCGCCAACGACTCCAGTAGATGAAGCTCCGTCTCCAATATCGTCCCATTCAGAACGTGAAAGAGAACGAGATAGACGAAAGTCTGAACAAAGTGCTAATGGAAGTAATTCTCCGGTTGCTAGTGGCGCTACACCTTAAGGCGTAATTATGTATATAAGTTGTTTTTCACTTTTTACTAGGTTTTTTTTTTCATGCATCAATTATTATGCTTAAAACAATTTATATGTTTCATGCACCGATTATTATGCTTTAAACAATT